CGTTTATTAAAGGATTCATAGGTGCATTTGCCACCGCATACTAAAACCAGGCATAATTAGCAGCAAACCAAATGTAACCAATTTGCGAAAGCTCAAGGGGTCTGGATTAACACAAGTCACTTTCCGCGTCTCCTCGCATGGTTTCGTGATAGATCGAGAGTAGCCCACACCGATACTTGTAAGGTGGACATGGTGTTTTAGAGACATTGTCATTATGTAGTAGCGTATTTTGTCTCCAGCATTAGAACACATGACCGACACAATGACGACGGGCTCAAGCGAATTTTTGAGCGTAGCTCTTAGGCGCCCGTTTGCTGCTTGAGCGGCGTCGGCGTAACCGCGCGGCGCATTATGGGAAACGTCCCATGATGTTAACACCGCAGATTGGGCCAGTTGGTTTTCAATATTCTAGTACTGCACAGCGCATAAAAATCTCACAAAAGCAGGCCTTCACAGAATTACAGACACAAAAAGATACACACAGCGCTTTGCGTATGTTTTTGTGTCTGCAATTGGAGTGAGTGCCTGCTTTTGTGTGGACCTTTATGCGCTGTGATGTCCCATGATGCAATGCGCGGGTCTCGCTCGTGACCTACGCGCTGCATTATGGGATGTTTCTCATAATGCACCGCGCGGGAGGGAGGAGGAGGATGAGGGACGAGGAGGAGGAGGGAGGTGAGGGAGTTCGAGAAGGAAGGAGGAGGACGGAGGGAGATGGGGGAGGATGAGGAGGGCAGGAGGAGAAGGAAGAGGGAGGATGAGGAACGCGGAAGGAGGAGTGTGGTGATTTTGGATTTTAATGTAGAAGAAAAAAGAGGACGATGACAAAAAGGAATGCTGATGTGGCTGGTTGACTGTGTGTTTGTTTGCACGGAGAAAATTTGGCGCGAGTGGCAGGTGGTGGAAAAAGAAGAAGTAGAAGGAAGCCTGGAGGTGACCGAACAGGACAAGCGAGCAGGATCTGGTGGACGAAAAAACCAACCCGCAACGATAGGCGTGGTCGGCACGGCTTCAGTTCGTCGTCCACAAACACAGGCCTGGTCAGCGGGCCTCCGAGGCTGCCCTGCCGCTACTTCAGGCCACACTCTTCAAGCCACCCCGTCGTCCACTACCCAGCCCCAACGCGCCCATCTACCTGGCATCAAGACTTCGGCGTGTCAACCAGGATCAGAACTCAGACCCGCTTCACGGACTATGTGAAGTACACCTCTTTAATTACCCTTTAAGTGTTAGATTTTCCGATAATTAATTTTTTTGAATTTTTTTCATTTTCTAGTGTTTAACGCTTTAATATATTTTTGTACTGGCCCAAAGATGTCGTCTCTTGGTCCATGCTCTTCGCGTCGCACACCCACGCAAGCGTGACCGCGCAAATTAACTGTTTTTTTTTCCTACCATATTTCTTAAAACAAGCACATGATATTGGCATTGATAAACTCTGGAACATTTTTAGGCTCAAAGTTCACGAGCTTGTTGACAATTACGTTCTCTCGGGAATACAATCTTCTAAAACTAAAGACTAACCTTTGATGACGGAAGAGGTAAAGCAGATGAATGAGCGAAAACGAAGAGCTTATCTACGATTCAGAGAAAACGAGATAGAAGCCAACAGGTCAAGCTTAGAACAAGGGGACACCCTTTTTAAAACGGCACTTAAGGGATAAAAAAAAGTGCTACGAAAACTAAGGTAAACAACCAAAAATGCGCCCTTAAAAGATTTGGAAGGCATTTAAGGTAAATAAGAAGTAAGATGCGTCTGTTCCTTCACTTCTATTAAACGAGCAGCTGATAGTGGACGAGAAAACAAAGTAACGTGTCTAAATAATTACTCTGAATCTGTTTTTTTCGAAGGGTACTACAACGATTTGTTACCCTACTGTACGTTCTGTAATGGAACATGCGATGTCACCCGTAGAGATTACGTACAACGGCATAACTTTTTTACTAAGAGATCTCGATGTAAATAAATCATCTGTGTCTGATAATATGTTGCTTCTTATATTCAAGAATTGTTCTGAGAAGATGGCAAACTATTTATGTGTGCTTTACCACAAATCATTAAGGAATCAAAAACCTCCAGCAGACTAGAAAATCGCAAATGAGGTACCAATGCAACAATCAGGATCCAAGAACTGAGTGGAAAATTACCGACCTATCTCTCTAACTTGCATATGCTGCAAACTTATGGAGCACGTGATTTATAGTAGTCTTAATGCGCACTTGACCATGGATGATTTCCTTATCCAAGAGCATTATAGGTTTCGATCTGGAGCATCCTCTGACACTGTGCTTGTTGACGTCTTTCACTTTTTGGCGGGCGTCATGGATACTGGAAATGAAGTCGATTGTTTTTAGACCTCAAAAAAAAAAAAAAAAAAAAAACTTTGATCTCGAAAACCCTGAATTGATAATTTACAAAGTTACCTTACCTGCTATTGATAATAACGTTCTAGGTTGGCTCGAGGACTCCTTGAGAGAACGAAAGCAGTGCGTTGTGCTGAATGAGAAGTTCGGTTACCTTGGTGTTACATCTGGTATCCCCCAAGTTTCTGTTCTGAGACCTTTGCTCTTCTTGTAAATGATAATATTGATGGAACGCAATCAAATCTAATCCTATTTGCAGACGACTGCATTATTTATAGAGAAACTAATGATTCGAGTTCCTTCACTTCTATTAAATAGGATCACCTACGATATCGTAGGTCATCCTATTTGTGAAATCACTCGTGTTTATAATAAGGCACATTAGGAAGTAACAAAACGCGTGTTAACAACGTTTTTTTTATTCTTACGTAGAGAAGTTTTAGCTTAGATCAGTATAGGAGAACTTGATGCTATTTAAAGCAAACGTGAATGAACTTGAGAAAAAATGTGTTCCTCTAATCCGTATTCGTAGCGATTTGACTAACCCATGGTTTACCAAAAGTGTGCTTACCTTGCAAAATTCAAAAACACACACTTAGCGAAGGCCAAACGTGTCGACATGACCGAAGTTTGGAATTTTTACAATTAGTACACCAGGTGTCTGAAGCTGCCCAAAAATAAAATTGTCTAGCATGACTTACCAACCAGCCTGTGGGCTAACGCACAAAGTTCTGGAATTTAATATCACCAAAAACAAATAACCCTATCGTACATCTTACCCATAAAAATGTCGACCTGATCCCTGAGAGCGACTACGCTGATGTACTGAACGTCTATTTTTCTCAATTTTCAACGTAACGCGCTTAGTCATGTCCCTATTTTCCCCAAAAAGCTCTACGAGCGAATGCGCCCTATCAGTATAGACACTGCCGGTATCGTAAACCTAGTATACGAATTAAAGCTCACATCGTCCGCTGGTCCTAGCAATATCAATTCTCAAATTCTAAATAAAACACCAGCATTATTTTGAGTAAATTTTTGTCTCTGATTCATAGTCAATCATCGTTCGAAAGCCGCGTTCCTTCGGAATGAAAAATTAGCAAGGTTGTTACAGATTTTAAACAGAGAATTCGCTCTATTGTCTCTAAATATCGCCCGATATACTTAACACCAGTCTTATTCAAACTCCTAGAGCACATAGCTTACTCGCACATCATGACTCACTTAAACTTGCACTGAAGTCAGTTTTAAAAAAAGGTCGTTTTTTATCTTGTATTGTTTAAAATGTGTTAGTCTTACATATCCCAAGTCCTATATTTCGACACCGTCTATCATCTCAGGGCAATAAACCAACATGTGGACTCTTATTTCTCGCTGACTACAATCTATGGACCAATGAAAGCCCTACAATACCTGCAGTTTCCGAATGATTTTATTATAACTTGTTTCGAAGAGAGTCTGATAGGTACGCATTCGGACAAGACTCCTCTTTTTCTCCGCGGGCGAAGCCATCGCGACGCTTGCAACTCGCTGGCAAGCACCCTTCGTCGACCACTTCATTCGGAAGAAAATTCTTCGCAAAAAGGGGGTGTCGCGATCTTTAACATGCTTTTAACAAGCGATATTTAACATGCTTTTAACAAGAAAACAAGCTACGCACGATTGTCATTACGTGTTCCTTGGGTTGCTTAGAGCGTCTAGATTGAGTTGTCACTACAAAAGGACGGTAACAGTATCGACTTCAGTGTCGCTTCTTACTAAATTCTACTATCATTGCGCCGATTTCAAGAACGCTTTGCTATCACCGCTTGACAAAACATATTCTCGTCTTAACACTAATGCACAATCAAATGTATTTCCGGGTCCGCAATTGCATTCAATCAGTCTCTACATAATCAAGCCCTCTACCACAGCAACAGCCTAGCATCCTCTATCGTCACCAATGTAGACCCAAAATTATTTCTATCAAGCTTAAGGGATAATTTTTATTTGTATTGGTTTTTACTTTTCATTTTGCATTATTAAGGCGCGAGCCGGTGGTATTTCCGTTTCTTTTTTGTCTTGATATACATGACATGCATTTATACTCCTTATGTAATGTCCTAACGGGGACGTTATTGTGAAAACAAACGAAATAAAATAAAATATATAAGAGGTTTAAAGTCGTCATGAAGCAAGCGTGTTTATGATGATCATGTGCCCATCAAAAAAACATTTATGACATGCTGTGATATGTACTCATTAGCGTCACGATGTGGCGTATAATTTCCACAAAGTGGCGTATAATTTCCACCGTTTATTCTAATGAAAATCTCCGGTGAGCGAAAGTTGAGTCTTAAAAACGTGTTTTGCTTATGTGGTTTTCCTAATGAGTCAGGTATAATACCGCTTTCTTTTTTGATGGACGCAAACGGCAAACATACGTCATTTCTGTGGTTCCTGCCATTTGTCCAACGATTGCTTACATTACGATGAGGTATACACCACAAGTTAAAAAAATGCAAATGGCATGCCAAGCACAAATTAGAGCACATGTTCTCGGTCGAGATCAGTTATAAAATCTCGCTCAAGCGCTACTGCATTTAGTTTGTGTAGGTATTGGCGTTCTAACACGTTGACTACTAATCACCCGAACTATGTCGAAGGGCCTCTTTACTTTTGCCACTCTCATGATTCTTCATGGCGGTTCAGCGAGTTCGAATTACCCCGAGCTTAATCCAGAGCTTGAAATGTACCAGGATATAACTAGGGTATGTGGTGGTCCATATTCTAAGCAATTATCTATATTTTGTAATGTATTTATTATATAATTTGAATAATATTTATTTCGCCCACTAGATTATATCTCATATCTTAGAAACTTCATGTGTATTACTTTCATGTCCTTTCACTTCGGAATCACATTTTGCAGAAAGACAAATCTTTGGATGCCCAAACCTGGTTACACTGAGGTCATGTTAAAATTCAAGTTCAAAAAATAAAAAAAACGTGATGAGGATTGCGTTAGAAATGACATGTAAACGTGTTCCATATTAGTTAAAATGAAAAGGGAATTTTAACATGCCTTCACCACACTATGTCAGATGATTTCCCAAATATGCATTCAATTTTCTGCCATAAATACCTGCAGGTGTTCCCACTCACCGAGGCCTGGTACATGGCGTACAGGAACTACGAGGAAGACCCAGCATTCGGAACATCTAAATGCCTAGGAGTTTCCCAGGTGGGACCTGAAGAGGAGGGTGGATATCCGACAATGGTTGAGTATGGCGACGGAACACAGTCGGCGTGAGTGAAACTTCAGACGCATTTTGATTGCTGCAAACTGTTTAAAACTATTTATGATTCCATCAACTTTAATTGATTTTTTACAGAATATATAATGCTGAAAAAAACAGTCTATTACGTAACTCACATAGTGTATATTAAAACCGAAGATCAGCTTCAGCTAACTAAATAACGCACACATTTATTGAAATAGATTGTTGCACAGTTAATTTCTTCTAAAGAGTGTTTTTTGCTCTTGTTAACGAGAAAAATTTACACAAATGAAGAAGTGCTACAAACTTAAATTAATTCTAAAGAGTATTGAGACTTATTTTCAGCAAATAAGGTACTCTTTTTATCTTGTAGTTTGGCTATGCATCCGCAACATTGAGGTAGTACATTATAGTTAAATACGTCGGGTAACAGGTAATGCATTGGGATAGCCATGTCTCATTCGCTCGTTGAAGGAAGTAAAACTGGAAGGTAACAATGCAAGATATTCAACCCTCACTAGGTAGGAGATCTAGTTGCCCCAGAGCATACTTTAAAAAAAAAGACTATCTACACTTAGCACTAGTTGTCTAATTGCAATAACAATTGCATGGTCTTGTACTAAATAATTTTTTTAGAGTTTCAAACCTGAGATTTGAGGTGGTCTTTCATTTTCGAGGTACTCTATGTAATATGTTATTCTCTGAATGAAGATATATCGATCATATGTCTATCATCTTATTGTGTAGCTATTTGGTTCTTACTAAAAACGTCAATGGCGTTGCTTGAAACTGCTTTTGTGTAAAAAATTCACCGGGTCTCTTATGTCATCCCTAAAACAACTTGAAGGCGAAAGCACAAGAGTCGATGCATCAAAGACAGACATGATCTACGGATGTGACGACGCGGTAACCCCCCCCCCCCCCCCCCGCCCCCTCTCGCCGTGGTGGTGAGGTACCGCGTCGACAACATCCGTGAATAATATATTTGTCTTTAATGCATTCGGATGAGGGGAAACATGACGGACTAGTGAACGAAAGTTTGCTGGTTCGACGCCAGCCGAGAGACTAGAGCGGAAAGTTTTTTCAGAAGAATTATAAATTTTGGAGATGTCACATAAATGTTATCGTACCCTTCGTGCCGCCTACGTGTGTTCGTTTAGAGACTTTGACGATCGACTGAACGATGAGACATATAAGGCTTTCGCCTTAATATTAATACTATAATCAATCTGCCTTGGTCCACAGGAACGCGTTGATCACGTTTGAGTCAACTGAAGGGTATACATCCAAGAATAGGTTAAACTATTTACCCGAGGGCCGTGAGTATACTTTCATTAACCGTGGCGATATAAAATGTCATTTATTAAAAAGAAATGTAATACAATTTGAATTCTCTATAAAAAAAAATGTTGTGTTTTAGTGGGCATATTTTGCCTCCAGCCCATGTAATATATAATGTAGAGGGCGTGATTGCTTTGAAATCATAAAGGCCTTTAAGAAAAACGTGTGGGAGTCACATAAAAGGCAATTCAAGTGTTTGTTTATTGAATACGGCAGGTTTCAGTTGGAATGATAACGTGACGGTAGGTAGCGGTATATCCAAAACAATTGTCTTTTTATTAAAAGCTGCGTGTCATATAGCAAATAAAGCATTTTTTTTATTTATAGAATACTGTGGCTCAGATGAGTAAGGTATGGCAGTTGTGGTTACGTAAGATTATTCAAAATGTTAAAGCCAGTCGTCACTAGAAGCTCGAGTAATGTACGCAATTTGAGAGATTACAGCGATTCTTGATATGATTACTACCAGCCTCAGTGGCTCCAAGCCAATCGCCGGCCTACGGTTCCCCAGGTAGCAGATCTGAATCCCGGGGTCGAGGTGCCCGCAATCTGATGGAGGCTTATTGCAGAGAAGGCGCCGTGTAACCGAGCCTGCGGTTGTACATCAAAAGATCCCCATGTGGTCGAAATTAATCCTCAGACCTCCTCTGAGGCGCGCCAGATGCCTGTTGTTGGTTTGGCGGGCAAGCCTCCTCCCCCCCTCCCCTCAACCCCAGCCCCCCAAATCTGACTTTTGATATGCGCACTGATTAGAATTTTTCCCCTGTTTCCCCAAGCTGAACCTGGGCGCAGGAGATCGCCAGAAGTTCTACGCACCATAGTGTGTGGGAATGTGATGTGGTGGTTTGAGTCACTTCGTCATCATAGCAGCATGCTCTATTTACCGTTCATTACGACTGCACCCTGCGCCTGAATCCGACGGATCAAGTCAAGCAGCTCCAAAAGTGTGTCATAACTGCGCCCGTCGTTTTGTGTGTTTGCTCTAACCGGCTGAACCAATGACGGACAAAAAACAGAGCACCATGACGCCGCATTCCCTGTGCGCATTGGTTCAGCCCGGTATAAGAAACGAGCCAAGAGGGAAGCAGAAAAAACGACACATCTTTTGGAGCTGCTTGATTGGCTCTAACGGCTTGCAGCATTGGCTGCAGTCGAACTTAATAGCAAATTTTATAATATCGTCCGTATAGTATTTGCGTATGCAATAAAAATAACAACGTAGCCACTAGTCTTGCTTAGAGTCCAAAGATCGCTTCACATTGCCGCATGGTGATGACGCTCTTTCTGTGTGTACGCAAATATTTTGTGTACGTTATTTTAATACCTACTGAGTATTGTGAAACGAATTGCATCACATTCAAACTTAGCTGCACCTTGAATACAAAATTAAGTTAATTTTTAAGTTACCCAAGACACATTTACCACTTACCGTTGTCTGCGACAATACGGGCGCTTTTTCGGCTTTCAGCTTAGTAATAGATCGACGAAGCCGCGAAAACTGTAGGATAAATATTGCAAAGATCCCGCACTTTTGAAGAAACAGTTCAATGGGTTTTTGCCTCAAAGATATTATCTTCAAAGCTGCAACTCATAAAATCTGTTAAAGAAAGCTCCTGCCCACATCAACAAAAATTGAATTTTCAGAACACCAACATTTCTCGATTTATTGAGAACTAGGATGAAACATAATCGATACTCAAGCTCCAAAGTTCTATAATTTCATGGAGTGCAGTACTTAAAGACCGATCGTGAACATTTAATCGTAAAATAATAAAACAGTCGTTTCTGATACTTTATAACTCATTGTTTTTTATCGAATAGATTAGGCATTCCGTCAAATGCAATGGACGTGCAAATGGCTCTTGATGGGGATTATTGGATGAAGCTTGCTTTTTTTGGTCGCACAGTAACAGGGTACGAAAAGAGGAGGGAGAGGGAGGAGGATAATTTGGAGGGATAGGGGAGGGTTGGAGATATAGGAAAAGAAAGTAGGTGAAGAGGGAGGGGAAAGCGATGGGTAGGGAGGGAGAAAAAAAGAAAAAGAGATTTTAGGAAGAAGGAAGGAAAGAAGGATAGCGAAACGATAAGGGAAGGGGAATGGGGGAGGGACGGGAGAGGAGAAGTGCAGCGGTATCACATGTCGTGAGTTGCATATGCCTCTTGACATCAATTTACCCGCAAACGTTTAGAGCGGAAACTCTCTTGATAAATGGGGTATGTGACTTTAAATACCTTGTCAGATTTAACGGTCTATTTATTTCTATTTTAGTCTATTCTAGTCTATTTTAGTAAACTAAATATAAAAAGGAGGCCCAATTTACGTTTGTTGTTTCACATATTTTTGCGCCATTGAGTATACTAAAAATTTGAAGAGGCTGAGTCACCCTCGTTAAACGCGAATGAGTTGTACTTCTTAAGTTTGCATTATTACAAGAAACACAAGAAAATAAAAGAAGGAATCTGCCAACCATCGGTTGGAACAACTGGGTTGGAAGTGTGAATGAGGCTGTGAACGTTAAAGATTGCTAGCGCGAGATTAAACACATATCACGCAGGATTTTCAAACTTATGTATTGCTTCAATCCATAAAGGCTAATAGAATTGAGTGAAGCATTCGCCTGACATGTGATTGTACCAGAACTTAATAAAGGTTATTGTAGATCCCATTTTAGATGGGGTACATTAAAATCTCCAGGACTATAATATTGCCGTAGATGCCAAGATCGAATTTACCACAACAAGGCATTTTTGTTCAAAGAGTTGGTGAAACCAAGGTTTGATGGAACACTAAGCATGCCAGTGAGCAAGCTGAAGTTATCTCAAGGTGTTTCTACCCAGAGAGAATCAGTCCAAAATTCAAGGTCAAGTCAGTCGACAGCAAGCAGCGTCTCTTCGTTAAGAGCAATAATTGCACCCTCTTCCAAGTTCATGGACCTGCTTTTATCATATCTGTCCCCACGAAAAAGTGGGGACAAATGGTGCAAAAGGGCAGCTCACACATATTTCGCATAATAATATTGTGTCATAATCACTAACAACAAAATTTTTAAAACACGGTTTTGGACATGTACGTAGACTACCAAAGTATCGATAAAAGAAATAAAGTGCAGAAAAAAGTTAAGGTCAGTGTTGAACATCGACTTTTAAGAGTCCAGACAACCGCCTGATGAACAGACCCATGCGCCACTCGTCATTAACATTACTATTTTTCTTAATATAGTCGAGTACATAGTGTCCTCCGCACTTTCTACATTTCAGAAGAATCACTGACTCTATACGTGGCTTATATGGATGTTGGAAAGTGCACCGTCTTCCGGAACGTCTACGTCAAGGGTATGACTACATTTTAACATATAAATTTGGATTGGGGATATTCGAAAATTAAAGTTCTAGCTTTATATGACGAGTTCCACAACTAATAAGATCAAGCGGGCAGACCAGCTGGAAGGGTATATTATGTTAAATAGTTCAATACCACAAAGGAAATGAAACATAATTATATTTTTATTTCCACCAATTAGAGGCCCGCACTAAATATATTATTCATTGATCTCATTTGTCCGAGAAACGTACGTAACAATTTTAAATCATGCATTCATATTTTAAGGATATGCCACATGATTGTTTCGTTTCCATTATTGCACGTCTAGTTAACGCTTCCGTAATATTTATTAGAACCCATTTTCTTTACGAGATTCGTAAAGAAATTTTATATTTTTAACCATAGCAGCTTAGGTTTAGCCTTTATTTCTGTACGAGATTTTTTCTGTAAAGAAATTGTAGCCACCCAGGTAGCACGTCAGAGAAAATCCTTACTTGGCAAAATTGTGAGAAACGCCAGGGCCTAACCTAAGCTTAGTTAGGTTTTGCAACATGTCGCTTGTCAGTTCTAAAGTACTTTGCCTAACAGCCTTAATTGGGCGATCTTAAGCCATGCCAAAATTTGGCTATTTTCTTGTACTGCACAGCAGTGCTAAAGTAAGTTTCGTACTTGAACCATACCTGCCAAAGTAAATCCTAATTAAGTAAGGATTTGGAACATGCCAAAGTTTGGCTTCTCACTATTCAGCAACTAGAGTTCGAGATATTTTCCAAAATGAGAAAGGAGGACCAAAGGCTTGCCGAAGTTGGACTTTTCTCTGGTTTTCCACGAGTGAGATATTTAACGCACTCCATGACAAAACAAAAGGCGTTCGAAGCGCGATTGTAAGATGTCACCCTAGTTGATATCGCCAAAGGCTCCCCCCCCCCCCCCCCCACGCTCCGATAAAAAAAGCAAAAAAAAAAAAACCATAACGAAAGCAAAAAAAAAAATAAAAAATTGCCACTTTAAGGGCTTAATCTAGGGTCCGCTGCTGGTGAAGTGACCGCGGCACCACAGAGCCACAACCGCTTGTTGTTTTTGTGAATTTTTTATACGCCAGGCTTTAACACTCATCAATTACACTGCAAGGCACATACTCAGCTACGCTTGCTTCTGCGACGCGTAGGCCTCACGCAGCAATCGCTCGATGGCAGGAATTGATGTAACGTTGAAGCAATCTCGCTTCGAGACGGTTACAGAATGTGTAACTCTCCGACTGGACATTGGCGGGTGTACCTACGCGCGAGCTAGAAAATCCGGCTCATTCTGCGTTTGCGAATTCGGTGTTGACCTGTCCAGCCGCGAAAGAACTTCTGTCAACCTTTAGGGTAGAGAAATTAGAGACACCCAAATAAAATATAAAGTGGTGCAAATAATTAATCTCGATTTGAATTTAATCAAGTCGGAACCACTCCCGCCCTACCACTAACTCCTGGGTACTTTATATCCAAACACAAATAAACCAGTGCCAACGGGGCCCGCCCTGATTACCCTACTTTGGCATCACAGAAATATCGATTGGACAGTAAATAAATTCGCTACCCCATCTCTCTTGTTTCTGGCCCAGCAAGACGGAAATATGTTTTATTTTTGAAACATCGGGGCCGAAGATAAACTTCAATCTTGACAAAAGCGATGTTTTGTGGGAGCCGTATCTAGGTCACCACGGCTCAATGAGCCAGCATGAGGGAACAGAGGTTTTGGGTGTGGAAGGGAAGGGAGGCGCTTTGCGCTCACGTTGTTTTCTTTGCACTTTGTTTCAACCCAGTCGCTTGTCTAAGTGGAAGTGCATATTTGGCAATCAATGGGAAGATGTCAGACGCTTACCGGACTGCCAGAAAATAAAACCTAACTCCGATATTTCCTTGGCGATATGGTACCAAAGACGCCAAATTTCCACCGAAATTCAAGACACTTAGCCTAACTCTGGCATTCGTTAGGCATTTTAGACCCGGATATGCGAGATGACAGCCAACCTCTCAGAGAAGCCTAATGTATGCACTTATTTGGCGATCTGGCATCAAAAATTCCAAGTGATAGTCAAGCTAAGAGGCAGTAAGCCTAACTATGACACTTGTTTGGCGACTTTGACCCAAAGGTGCCAGATAACAGAAAAACAACAAAGCAGTGAAGCCCAACTTTGGCACTTGTTCGGCGAATTACAGCTAAGATATACAGAATCTTAACAAAGAATGTTAGATTTGGCTCTACGTAGTTCCATTTCTCCTGGCTTCTGAAGGTATAAACTCGCCCAAAAAATCCAAAACTTTGGTTGAGAGCTCTTTGCTACCTGGACATGCGCTTGTTTGTCTCGGAACGAAAACCGCTAGCAGACACTTGCAGAAAATCTCATTTTTAACAATGCCTATATAATGATTGTTTGTTTCATCCTGAACTTAGGAATTGAGCGGGACTATAAAGGTCACATGAAGATAGAGCAAGATAAACTATAAATGAGAAAAAATGCAAACATAGAACACAGAGCTCTTAACCATATTCACGGACATTGTCTAACACAAATCTTAAAACGATGCAGAGGATGCCTGCAGCATCGTCGTTCCGAAGAGCCTACTTGGACAAAGTACAATCTATTGCGATTTCGCTTACGACCTTCTGTGTGGTACCAAGAAATATAATATCTCTGACGCCAGTTGTCAAAATGAAGATTGAGCAAAATATTGGAACATGTAAAATACTTATGAGTTCTTTAAAAGTCCAATTTATTGAATGTTTTGATGTCCTCTTGATGATCAAGTGTTTTTCTCCTGGTGCTCGTCTTATTTGTCCTCGCTCCTAAACTTTCTCCGTCAGAAATAAAGAATTCAATCAAAGTATCAATTCATTATGAAACGACATTTCGCCGCAATCTGTAGAATTGTGTTTTATTTATTGTGTTCCCCACAAAAGGCGTTGCGTTAGTGTTCAAACACGTCAAAATAAACATGACAGTTTTGTCTTTCTAAGCGCCATTAGATACACTGAGCAGCGTTAAGGAGAATGCTATAATAATAATAATAAATTGTTTTATTTTTCTCGTGCCCACAAACAACCTCTCGGTTTACAGTGTGGGGCACTAAACATACATGGAGTAAAACCTAAATATACAGGAAACAAGAAAGTTGTATTAATAAAAGTCATGCACCATTATCGTAATGCAAAAATTGATTATTGATTAATTCACAAACATCCAGTCACGAAGATTTAACATAAACTCCTGGGTGGGTAAAAAGATCTCGTGGTTAAATTTGAATCAAAAGCAATTTGTAACCTTGACAATGGGTTTACAGCGAACATGCAAGTTGGATAAAAAGTTGAAATCTTTCGAATCTGGCGAGCGGGAACATGAAACTCAATAGTTTGTCATAAAGCCGCCGAATTTACCCTGCCATGGAAGTTTTGTGAAGGAATAAAAAATCTCTGTACTGCCTTCTCAAGGCCAATTTATGCAGCGAACATTTACGAAGCAAAGTTTCGTAGTGAAAAAAACATCTCCTTCTAATGTATCGGTCATATAAAATCCTTACCATTCTTTTTTGCACTTTTTCAATAGCTAGCTCTTGCGAAAGAGTCAATGAATTCCAAATGACTGAGGCAAATTCCAGTCGCGATCGAACTAGAGACTTAAATAGAAGTAGCAAGCAACGGTTAGTTGAAAATCGACAACAACTTCTTGAAATCATTCCTCCTCAACGCTGCATTTACGGTAGCGAAGACATGATTGTTGAAAGAAAGTGAGCTGTCAATATACACTCCAAGGTCCCTGATAAAGGAGACAGATATAGAAGGAACTAATACGCCATCCAGGTAATATTCAAAACAAATAACATTCCGCTTACTAGATAATACCATTGATTTGGATTACAAGGGGTTAAGGAACAAGCTGTTTTCTAAACACCATCTCGAAACACGACTTAGACCTGCTTGGAGAAGAGATCAGTCAGATAGTGACTTTACAGTTAGAAATAACTTAACATCGTCAGCAAACAGAAGGATGTTAGCATTGCTGACACAATAAGCAATGTCATTTACAAACAACAGGAACAAAAGCGGGCCAAGAATTGAGCCCTGCGGCACGCCAGACGTTGAAATCAACTGTACAGAAAAGATGCCATTGACACGAACAGAATTGCGACGATCACACAAGTAGCTATGAGACCATCTACACAAATGCGGGCTGAAGCCATGTGAGGCCAGCTTGATCAACAATGAATCGTGCCTAACGCAGTCAAATGCTTTAGACATGTCTAGGTAGATGGCGTCAACTTTACCTCTACTAGTAACTATTGGTGCGGTGTAACTTAAAAACGAACACAAATTGGACTCTACAGACCTACCTTTTAAGAAACCATGTTGTTCATAAGATATCACCGTGTTCAGGTAAAAATAAACACGCTTATGAACTACTTTCTTGAAAACCTTCGCAAATCCACATAATAATGACACCGGACGATAATTACTAGCTAAACAAGAATCACCTTCTTTTAACACAGAAACAAGAACCGCGAACTTCCAGAGCTCAGGAAAAAGTCCTTGTTTAAGTGATAAGTTAAAAATATGACACAGACAAGGGGCAAATATAGCACAGCAACCTTTGATGATAAAAGTGGGAATGCCGTCAATACCCGCAAAAACTTTCGGTTTCATTTGATCTATTGCTTCGATTTTATCTTCAATGTCGATAGCAAAAGAAGTCAAAAAGTCACCACGTTCTACGCCCGAGGTGTTAACATAACTCGATTGCTGAGGGAAATAGCAGGAGCTAAAAAAATCAGCAAAAAGATTTGCTACTTCAGCTGGTAACCATTTGTACCCAGCACCATCAAGAAGGCAAATGTCCAAATTCTTTTCCCGAAGGTGTTGTTTTGCGAATCTCCAAAATTCTTTATGATTTTTAGACAAACTACCTTCAAGATCATTAAGGTGCATACGCTTGTCCTGTTTATACAGTTGTTTAACCGGGCATCGATAAATACTGAATTTTTGATACCAAACCTCTAGTCCTGTCTTTTTATATAAACGGTGATAGTGCAGCTTTTTCCTTGAGGAAATCTTTAAATCTCTAGAAAACCAGCTAAGATAGTGGGAGGGGCACGTGCGCTTTTTCGGAACACAGATATTAAGTGAAGACAATTAAATAGAGTAGCCCTAAAGAATCAATTTTCTCTTGTCAATGAGCGTTTTGACTGTGTAGGCTTAAGCCCTCTAGCGCAACGCTAAGCCGTCATATGTCAAGGGTAACCGAAGGTTACATTTTCTTCACTCGCACAGTCGTTGGAATCAATATCTAAACAATAATAAACTGTTTGATGCTGCTTCACGAACAATTTGTTTTACCCATTCATTAGAAAACACTTCTCGGCAAGAGTTCCCTAAACTTAGGTCTCTATGGTAACCCAATTAAATAAAAGTACCACTGTAAACAAAGAAGCTCTAACCAGGAGCCGCTGGCGTCCTGAAGCTACAAGGAAACACTAAAATAATGTATCGTGTTTTATAAATACAGACCTTCCACAATGCACACGAAGAATTTGTTTTTCCTGTGCACGTCCTGTGGCAGTACCAGACTCTTTCGTATTTTCACTCTATTTTTATAGCACCGAACATATAGGATCACCGAATAAACCATGGAGTGATTTATTTAGCCCCGAAACTGTACCTTGCCCCTATTATTTCCAGACGTCTGAAGGAATGGGTATCATGTTACGAGATGTCAACTCGCAGCTAACAAAATAAGGTTGCAAATGATCTGAACTCAACATAAGCGTGTTTGAACATTGATTCGAAATACCAAAATTCTCGACAGGATCTTGAGGTCACGCAGTCACCAAGCTGCTTCAAAAAGTAACCTTCCATCGGCCGACGGTTGGCCAGTGTCTGGACAGCTTCGCCACTTGTAAGTTCGTGGCCACCGGAGACATAAACATTAAGGCCGTCAAGAGTCCGGCCACAAACTAGCTTTTTTTAGCTTGGCCGTCGGAGACATAAACACTGCCGGCAAGCTCCTTGCCAGAAGTGCTAATTTTCAGCTTGGCCGCCGGAGACATAAATCCGGTTGTTTAGTGTTTGGCGAAAAGTGCTGATTTTCAGCTTGGCCGCCGTGGAAACAAGCACGGCCGGCAGAGGTTTGGCCAGCAGTACTAATTTTCAGCTTGGTCGCCGAAGACATAAACACGGCCGGCAAGTGTCTGGAAAAGAAGGGTTGATTTTCAGTTTCGCCGCAGGGACACCCATGATCTTCACTTAAATCGCGTTGACGAAACTTTGGCATGACGACGGGCAGCGAGAGAAGCACCATGGGCGAGTGTTGGCAGGATTGTAGTGCGTGCATCGGGCGAGCACTGTTAGGGCAAGCAAACGATAACCATTTTATTAACTTTTTTTCTTTAGATTTAAAAAGCTATTGTCTTAGCTAGCACTGTCGTGTGATATGTTCATTTGAGACAGTGCCATAAGTGGAAAAATATTTGGCCCGTCGTTGTTCTCTGAAATAGTATACAAAAACAGCGCCGATGTCATCTTCGCGCTAACAATCTCTGTCGCTGCGCGGCACTCTTAGCGCGAATATCACATCCGGGATTTTTCGGTTAGGGCTTCACATATTTACTTCCCAACTGCGCTCTAAAAAAAAAAGAGTTGTAGTTGGGTGCATCGAGCGCACGTGCTTCCTTTTCCTGGAAGACGCACCCTCCGTTACCCAGCCAGTGTACTTGTACACCGATCATAAGCACCCTCCTCTACCTTAGGAACCTCTAGGTGTATCAATGGAATCAGCTTAGTAAACCGCCAGGCTAGCCACGCGCCCCGATCAGCTTGTGCTTGGATGGGATAAGATTGGATCTTTCGGGTTCTGTGTTTAGGAGAATCCTGAACATAACATCTCTCATATATTGATTGTACTTAAGCTAGTCTTCAAGCTTCCCGTATTGGGGGCCATTTTCGGGCTCCGGAGTTCCTTTGGAAATATGGAGCTCTCCTGCTACTCGGTATTGACAACAGAGTAGACGCTATGCTTTAGGCCAGTCGTGTCTCCGGGTACGATCACGTGACTACAGTCTCCAAGGTAGAGAAAAGGTAGAGCACGGCACCTGCCTGAAGGCGAAGGCCGTGACAATTATCGGAGAATACTGACTTCCTTGCTCTCCCGGCATTTCGTGGAAACATGTTTCATAGGCAACATTTCGTGAATACACGTTTCATGGACACGTTTAGACGACACTAACATATCACAGGCACTCATTACGCGAATCGCACGCTAAAGGGACATTTTTTCGCGGGTGTGTCGATCGCCGGCCGGCAGTCCAGTCCACGCAGCTTCGCAGCGACATTCTGCGACGGCTTTTTGCAGAAACGTTAACCCGCGTGTCCCACCCTACAGGAAATTTGCGCAAGAATCTAAGGTGACATGTTACCAGGAAAAACAAAAACTGCCAATCATAGCTGTTTGTAGAACAATCTGTCGATGAAACATCCTTCGATGAATTGATTGCCACCACCAATGAGAGGCATCTGTAGGTAGATTTTCGTGGAAATTATTTTTCCAGTTGTTGGGGAGAATAGACAATATACCCAAGAATTGCCCCTTTTCTTGTTTTCTGTGCAATCTTCTCAGCGGTATAAAGGCTTATTAGTACCTTTTTTCACATTTCACAGATCGCTTGCACGTTTGTACT